GCACCGCTGCTGAATTTTGGCTTAGCAAAGAAACTACTGAACATTTTACTAGTGTAAAATGTGGAATAGTATACCAAAAAGAAAAAGGGAAAACTCGCACAAAACAAACTCAGCTACTACTTAGCATGAGCCAAACGAAAACACGATCCAAGTCACGGCGAAGTCAATGGAAACTCTTCTTGGCTCCTGCTGCTGTAGTTGGACAAAACCCCGCAAGTGCAAAATACATTTACGGCACAGAAGTATTTTTTTTTTTCATCCTCTTTGGTCATGTGTTTGATAATTTACCAGAAATTGACTGACTGACACTGTGGCTCATGGTCATTATTAGTTTGAATTAAGGTGGTTATTGAAGCCGCAACTGCTGGAATTACAAGTTTGGAAACGCAGACAGACTAATAACTCCAGCAGATGGACTGAGATTCAACCCAACCTCAAGGTGATGTTTTTAAAACCCAAAAAACAGTTTTAAGACAGAGCAGCTGTTTTTAATTTAAACCCTACACCGGCGTAATTTCAAGCAATTTCGGTTCAATTTCACCAGCCTTTCCTTGCATGCCTACTCCAGCTTCTTGCCTGTTATAATGATTACCCCCTTTTGAATCAGGGTTGCCTGGACAGGCCTCACATTTGCATTTCAAAAGCAAACACTCTCTTGGAGTGATGTCCACCAACTGACTTGCTCTTTTCTTGGTCCGTGAAGATTAATTCGACATTAATGTGATGAAACAGGCATTTCTCAATCTGTGGAGACACCAGCTTCCAAGCAACAGGAAGAGCTGGTGACTTCTTAACAAAACTGTAAATTATTTCGTGCCAAACAGCCACATGCTGCTTTGTGAATGATGGGCTAGTGGGAGAGGAGTGCCATGGATCTCCAAAGCCTGTCGGTGCTCCGAGGAAAACAGAAAGGACAGAGAAATATATCTAACAGGACTGAACCTGAAAGACTGAACCCATGTCATAAGAAGAGAAGAAGAGTTGGGATTTGATATCCCGCTTTATCACTACCTGAAGGAGTCTTAAAGCGGCTAACATTCTCCTTTCCCTTCCTCCCCCACAACAAACACTCTGTGAGGTGAGTGGGGCTGAGAGACTTCAAAGAAGTGTGACTAGCCCAAGGTCACCCAGCAGCTGCATGTGGAGGAGCGGAGACATGAACCCGGTTCACCAGATTATGAGTCTACCACTCTTAACCACTACACCACACTGGCTCTCAAGCAGCATTGTGGTGGCAAGTGTTAGAATTTTGAGAACACAATTATTTTATAACACCGGTCCTAAAGGATCTACACTGGCTACATTTCCAAGCACAATTCAAAGCATTGGTGCTGACATTTAAAGCCTTGGCCCTCTATACTTGAAGGAGCGTCTCCACCTCCATTGCCCAGCCTGGACACAGAGGTCCAGCTCTGAGGGCCTTCTGGAGGTTCCCTCCCTGTGAGAAGTAAGGTTACAGGAAACCAGGCACAGGGCCTTCTCGGTAGTGGCGCCCGCCCCGTGGAACACCCTCCCTTCAGATGTCAAACAGATAACTATTTGACTTTTTGAAGACACCTGAAAACAGCCCTGTTCAGGGAAGTTTTAAATGTTTGATATTTTATTGTGTTTTTAATATTTTGTTGGGAGCCACCCAGAGTGGCTGGGGAAACCCAATCAGATGGGCGGGGTATAAATAATACATTATTATTATTATTATTGTTGGTGGTGGTGGTGGTGGTTTATGTTTTACTGTGTTTTTAATATTTTGTTGGGAGCCGCCCAAAGTGGTTGGGGCGACCCAGTTGGATGGGCGGCATATAAATAATAATAATAATAATAGTTGTTGTTGTTGTTGTTGTTAACTTCTATCTAGGGGTCTTCTATCTGGGGTCATTGCTTGGTCCTTAAAAGATTTGCACATGTCAATGCAAATGTATGGATGGAAATGTAGGTCTTTGGACAAATTGAGATGGTTGGGTGCATGGAGTTTCCTCGCCACTCTGCTTTGCGGTATCTGCAGCAGCCCTGTTGTGTGTGTGTGTGTGTGTGTGTGTGTGTGGTTTTTTTTAAGGTGCTTAAAATGAGCTCAGTAGTAAAACACCTGCTTTGCATGCAGAAGGTCCCAGATTCCACCACCGACATTTCCAGGGTAAGGGAGGAAGTAGGCAAACACTTCGCCTCCCTTCCCTCTACCTGCAGGAACTTCTCCACATAATGCACGTTAATCACTGAAGTCAGCTTTTCTTGGCACAAACATTTGATTGTAATTAAAACACACACGGATGCTGTGTCCACCACCGGTCAAGGTATACACCCTCTTTTTCAATGACTCAGGCATTCTAAAAAAAGCACTCCCCAAGTCTAATTTGGAAAGAATAGAGAAAAGATCAAGGAAGAGGAATTTCCTGGTGATTAATGGGCAGGCGGGTGGAGCCATGTCTGGGCTTTAACCCTGCCCTTTCATGGGTCCCTCGGAAATGTCTCCTGGGCTTAGTTGTTTTTACTGCACGATAGTCGTGAGGGATTGTCCTTCTGAGAAGGATCCCTCCGTCTCCCTCTTTCTACCCTGCCTTGTGGCTATTTCTGTGTGTGCCCAAAAAGATCAAGCTGACCTCCTTCTCCTCCTGCTTCTGCTTCTTTCTAGGTGTATATCAGGGCAGGGAGCTCTTTTTCACTTGAGGGCCACACTGCTGTGTGGGCAATCTTCCAGGGGCCACGTGCCAGTGATGGGAAGAGCCAGGGAAGAAAGTGGGCGTAGCCAGAGGCAAAAGTGGGCAGATCAGCAAATGCAGATTTCACCTTTGTGCAGTGGGCTGGCTTGTAACACATTCAGCCTCTCTCTCTCTCTCTCACTGGGCACTGTAATGCCCAGGAAAGCAAGAGGCATTACAGTGGTACCTCTGGCTATGTACTTAATTCGTTCTGGAGGTCCGTTCTTAAGCTGAAACTGTTCTTAACCTGAGGCACCACTTTAGCTAATGGGGCCTCCCGCTGCCGCCGTGCAATTTCTGTTCTCATCCTGAAACAAAGTTCTTAACCCAAGGTACTATTTCTGGGTTTGCAGAGTCTGTAACCTGAAGCGTCTGTAACCCAAGGTACCACTGTATCTGAGTTCAAGGACACATTCCAGCCATGCAAAAGCACTTGGATTGTGAAGCAGGGCAAGTGAGGGGTGTGGTTTTGAGGGCCAGAGAGAGAGAGGCTTGGTGCTTAGACCCAAGGTCCCCCACCCCTACTCTAAAACATAGTGGTTATTATCGTCATCATCATCATATTGCTCAGAAATGTACCGGGAGCCAATGTAGGTCTTTTAAGACCGGTGTTATATGGTCCCAGCAGCTGCTCCCAGTCACCAATTTGGCAGCTGCTTTCTAGATTAGTTGTAGTTTCTGAGTCACCTTCAAAGGTAGCCCCACATAGAGAGCATTGCAGTAGTCCAAGCGGGAGATAACCAGGGCATGTACTACCTTGGCAAGACAGTGCACAGGCAGGCAGGGTCTCAGCCGGCGTACCAGGTGGAGCTGGTAGACAGCTGCCTTGGACACAGAACTGACCTGTGCTTCGATGGACCAAATGAGTCCAAAATGACTCCCAGGCTGTGCACCTGGTCCTTCAGGTGCACAGTTACCCTATTCAGGATTATTATTATTTTAAAACCAACACATTATTATCATTGCTCTTGTAAACTACTCACCATCGACATACAGAGCATGTCACCAGTTGCCATAGGGTTGTATCCAACTAAGTTCTACTCAGAGTAGACCTATTAGAATTAATGGATCTAAGTTAGTTAGGCCCATCTATTTCAAGCTATCAGGAAACATCCCAGTCCTGAGGGTGAAAAAGTGATCCCAATGAACTTTGTGCTTAATAAAAAATAACAAACGCTTGCTATTCGGAGGAAAAAGCCAACTTTTAATATTTTCTTTCTCGTTACCACTCACACACACAGAGAGAGAAAGAAACAAGTGTGTCTTTAATTCTCTCAACCACACTGATTAATCTACAGATCAAATCAATTCAGTCTTGCAGCCCTACTTGCAATGCTGCCATGGCGAGACAATGAGAGAACCCCAAGCGAGAAGGAGATCCACAACTACGAAAGAGGGGACCCTAAGAGACAAACCGGCCTATTTAAGTGCATCAGCTCTGAAAGCAGCATTCAGGTGTCAACCCAGAAAGAATCACCTGAAGGACACTTTGCCCATGAAAAAAAATAACCACCAGTGTCTGTGGGAAAACAGCAGAATTAACATGCACCCTGACACCAGATCTTTCTGTGCCAAGCAGTGTGGCGCAGGGCCAAGCAGGCTCTGTTTTCCTCCTTCAGACATGCCAGCGGACAAAGCCATAAAAGTTGCAAAAGGGGGAGAAGAGACTGGGGCGAGGGGGGGGAGAAATGTTGCATTTTAAAGATTCCTCCACTCGACAAAGCTCGCCATTCTCTTTTGCTTTCTCTCCGAAGCCAGGAAATGTCCACTGAGTCAACATATAAAGCAGCTCGATAATGGCTTATTCATCAGCTCTTCATATTTGGAATTGACCTTAGCAGCTACCATGTTCAGAGCAGAGACGTTGCAGAATTGCCGCCTCCTACCAAGTCAGCAGGATTGAATGCAAATAAAGGAAAGAAGGGAGAGGAGATAAGATTTTAAAAAGAGAAAGAGAGAGGGGGAGTTGGGTGGGTAGGATTTGAAAGGTGGAGGCAGCGCAGAACAGCCCTAGCTCGAGTAACCCATCCCCAAATGCCTTTCTGGAGAAAATTGTTTTAAGCCAATAATATTGTATTATGGTCGGGTTACTCCCACCACCACCTGCTACCCTGTGAAAATATTCAGCAGACAGCAATGCATGCGGACTGAGCGGAGGGGGTGGAGCAGGAACCATAGACAGGCATCATAACTAAAGCCTTTCAAAGGATGTTAAGGTTGGTGGCTGGGGCAGCAGCTACAGTAGGCGAAGGAAGTTGTGCCTGAATAGGAACAAAAAGGAGACATTTCTGAATATGTTGTCCTTTGGGGAAGGGTCATAACTCAGTGCCAGAGCATCTGCCTTGCATGCAGAAGGTCCCAGGTTCCATAACCTGGGACCTCCCAGTAGGAGCGCCTCCTTTCTGAAACTCTGGATACACAGTGTTGAGCTGGACACACCAGCAAGGGCAGAGAAGAAAACTGATTCAGATCACATTTCAAGGCAAAGTTGGCCCTTTCCGAAACAATACGCAAGCCAAAGGGCAGCCCACCTTTTAAAATACACGTGTCTCTGGATTTCCCCATGCAGTTCTACAGCCAAGGGATGTGTACAAGAATGCATATATAGTGGTACCCCCGGGTGCACACAGAATCCATTCCGGAGCTCTGGTTGGATCCCGAGGTGTGTGTGTATTCGGACATGCCGCTTCTGTGCATGCGTGGAGCACCTAGAGCACTTCTGTGCATGTGCGTGCAACAAAACCCGGAAAAATACTTCCGGGTTTGCTGCGCACGTATTCCGAAGGATACGTAACCGGAGGTGAACGTAAGTAGAGGTACTACTGTAATGGGGTAAATTGTGAACATGCATGTAACAGTGACAATAACATACAAAGAAAATCGCACACAAAGCAAGTATATCAGGAGAAATTTACACTAAAATGCTGGTGAAGTCATAGAACAGTTGGAAGGGACCCTTAGGAACATTTATTCCAACTCCCTGCAGTGCAGGAATATGCAGCCGTCCCGCAGGTTTCAAACCTGCAACCTGGGCATTATCAGCACCACCCACTTACCAACTGAGCTATCCGTGCAGGGTTAAACAAGTATGTGCCCATCCCTATGGACCAGTGGTCTGACTCAGTATAAGGTAGCTCCCTGTGTTTCTGGTGGGGGTGGAATTAATCATTTGGACACAATCCTTAGAATTCAGCCACGTCTGGCTGGATGGGTGTTGCACAGCTGTTAGGGTGGAAAAGAGACTCTGCGTCATTTAAAAGTGGACAGAGATGATTCTGTCCAGCAACAGCAACTATATAGCTCTCAATACTTGCCTTTGGCTTAACAAGTGGGCATTTGGGTGATGATAATGAACCCAATAAAATAGTTCCACAAAGAGCATAGCTGGACACAATGATATATGTAGATCTGTCATCAGAAACTGCCTTGCTGGCGAGTTAAAGCCCTCCATGACATTTATTTTTTGACAGAAGCATTGTTACCCTATCTTTCAGTCCAGATACCCTTGATATGGCCTGCACCAACACCCTTCAGTATTAAAACTAATCGGAAAAAGAAAAACACACAGCCAAATTTGCAAACAACAACAGCAGAGCACAACTAAAATCTGAGAATACAAAATTTGCAGGAAAGGTACTGAACTTCATTTGCCCCAGCCCAAGTGGTTGGTAAGCAAAGCCACATCTTTGCTGTTCAGTGACAGGCAAGCCGCTGAGAGGCTGGGTGGGTCTCTCTGGGGAGGGCATTCCATAACCTAGACAGAGTAACTGAGAAAACCCTTTATCTGGTCTCCACCCAGCACCCTTCAGACAGCAGCAGGGGCATACAGCAAAATTTCCCTTGATGAGCCAAGTGCACCAGCAGATTCACAAGGAAAGAATGAATGAGCAACTGACCACAAGATGGGAAGTGGTCTTAAAACTGAGTCAGGTCACTGGTCCATCTGTTGTCTACACTGACTGGCAGTGGCTTCTCCAGGGTTTCAGGCAGGGAATCTTTCTCAGCTCCTGTCTGGAGATGCCAGAGATTGTGCCCAGGACCCCAAAGCAAATGCTCTCAGCTACTAGTTGGTCCTGGGAAAACTGGCCTCTGTCCTGTTGCCATTTCTCTGCCCTGCTCCATTCCATTGGCTGCCACTGGCAAGGTCAGGGTTACTGTCCATGGATGAAGATTACTATACGGAGAGTAGGGAGAATTCAACGAAGGTTTGCTATTGCCTGCAGAAACACCATATTAATTAATGTCCGGATCTCCATGAAGCTCCTTTTTACTGGAAACATGGCTGAAAAGTCCTCCACAAAGGAAAGCTTGGTTTAATCCATCCCAATAGCCAGGGCGTTACTCCACTTAACATCATTTTCAGGAAGCCATTTCCGTGATATCTTGCATAGGGATGTTGCAGGATTCTGACAAAAACAGAAATGGGAGCGGAAATTGCCGATGTTCGCTTGTCCATCGCATGCCCTGAACAGAAATCAATCTAGTGAATGCAGGTTGCATTTGCCCTTGTTGCAGCTTTCAGACCACAAACTGACTACATTTCTTCCCCTCCTGCACCCATTTGCATTGTATTTCCTTTGCAGTGAAATAAATGGGGTGGGGAAATGTAATGAAAATGTGATTTACATACTCTATATCAGTGCTTTTTTTCTGGGTACGCAGGGGTACGCATACCCCTAAACATTTTGTGAATCTTTGTACTTTTGTCCATTCACTGTATTTATTTTCCCTTATTTCAACCATAAAATTGTGATTTTCTTGAGTCAAAATGTGAGTACCCCTAAACATTTTTTTTAGAAAAAAAAGCACTGTTCTATATAATTAACTATGTAAATCATGAAAGTTACATTATTTTGCTGCAGCAGACAATGAGACAGATAACAGTTTTGGGTGGATGATGAAACTGCAGCGGAATGAAAACAGTGAAGTATGCAGGACGGAATGAAAAACAGTGCCTTCTTACATCCTTAACCTTGAAGCAAGGATTGGAGGGAGGGGCTCTGCTTCTGACCATTGCCTTTGGGCAGTCTCTAAAAGACGGGATGGATCAATACCATTGGAAACAGGAGGTTTCTGTGTGTGTGTGTGTGTGTGTGTGTGTGTGTGTGTCGGTCTGTCTGTCTGTCTGAAGCTTTGACTACATAGGGATATCTCAAATGCATTTTTGAATATTTAATCGACATGTATACTGGCAATATTCAAGAGAGCATCCCAGCCTCCATTAGCATTCTCAAATCTCAAGAGAGTTGTTTACCATAGTAAGGAAGCTGCGCTAAGAAAAATGCATTGATCACACACACACCAAATTAAGGGGCTGTGATTGACAGCAATGGTCAGCTTTTGTGGGTGCTCCTGCCTGAATGCTTGCAACATCTGTAGATCTTCCTGCTTCATGCGTGAACAGGGAACAGAAGCCCATGTATGCCACAGCGACGTTTAATTTGCCTTTCAGTGACACCAGCTAACTGGGTTTAGTCCAGAAAGAGGAGTAAGCAGGATGTCCTAGCTGCACCATCCATAAAAGGGGAAGCGCCAAGAAAACTTGACGTTCTCAAAACTTTCTGAAGTCCAAGTGATCTGTAAGATGTGGCACTTGTCGGAAGTGAATGCACACTAGATTTACACACCCGGATACATCACCTTTCCCCTTCTAGATATCAAAGGAGCCTGTGGTGGGAACTGTTAGCTCCCAGCATAGTTAAGAACGTATCGGCATTTCCAGCGTAAACCTCAATTTTAAGGGGTTTATGAATCACATGTTTTAGATTACATCTGGATGAGGCTGAACTGCTTGGAGGAAGCTGTCATCCCAGATGTGAATTTAAAAGCCAGCCATACTGATTTGTTGTGCTACATGTTGAGCATGCAAAAGAGAAGCTTTGGTACTTAAAAAGAAGCTTGAGGTTGACATTCTTCGGGGCATTTGTGGATTCTTTTTATGTTGCAAGGCTGGGAAAGGTAGCCCAAGTAGGGATCAGTCACCCAGGTTTTGCAGACCACCGAACCACATATGATGTGGAGGAGAATGTTTTCATGCGTTCATGAACTCATCAAATCCCATCCCTTTGGTTCCATCATCTTTTTGCCCCCTTTACCTATTGCTAAAACTTCTTTCCATGTTCCAGTTACCTCTCACATTGACTTGCACATGGTGGACATGGTTTCTGCCCCCTGCTCCAATTGGGCAGTACAGCCCATGTATGCTTCTGAAATCCTTTTAATCTATATTCACTTTAGTTTCTTTTATTCCAAACCAGGGTTTCCCAAACTTGGGTCTCCAGCTGTTTTTGGACTACAACTCCCATCATTCCTAGCTAGCAGGACCAGTGGTCAGAGATGATGTTTGATGTTTTACTATGTTTTATATATGCTGTAAGCCACCCAGAGCGGTTGGGGAAACCCAGCCAGATGGGTGGGGTGTAACAACAACAACAACAACAACAACAAACACAATTCCAACCATGAGCTGTTTCCAACAAAGTTGTACTCAGAGCAGACCCACTGAAATAAATAAGCCTAATTAATAGGCACAAATTAATAGGCATGCCGAATGCCTGCAGACCTTCCAAGTGTCCCTATTTTGCAGGGACTGTCCCGGATTTACAGAAGCCGTCCTGGTTTCTGATTTGATCCCGGAATGTCCCGCTTTTCTTGTGGATGCCCCTATTTCTATTGGAGAAATATTGGAGGGTATGCACTTATTCATTTCTATGGGTCCATACGTGAGTAGGATGTGCTGGACACAAGGGCGGAGCTCCTCTAGGGCCTAATGAACTTAAAGAGACCTGCTCCCAGGTGAGTGGAGTTGGCACTGCCGCCTTAGTTTGTTTGTATTGAACAAAAGGATGACTGCACGGATCACTGGGAACTAGGGGAGGGGGGAAAGGAAACTGAGAGGAGATCGCTGCCACAGCCGACTCAAAACATGGGTGACCGTGGAGGTTTTGCAGCCCAGCCTTTGTAGCTCCTTCTGGACAGCCTTCCCAGTCCTTGTTACTAATTAATCAGGCTGTGTTTCTGCAAGAGATTACCAGGCCTGATAGCAAAGTGTGCCTAAGGTGGGCCTTTGGCTCCATTCATCCTGACAGAAGACATTTACCCAGAGGTTCTCACGCCTGGCCTGGCTGTTTTTGTGTGTGTTTGAACCAAAGGGGTCTCTCTCAGGTTAAGATGGCAAGCAGTTGAGAGCAAACACCATTCCTTCGTTCCTTCCAGTGTTGGCCACACAAATCAGCAGTAGTGGATCAGCTTGCATTATCATTCTAAGCAGAGGTGTTTAACTGAGCAGGCTGTAAGGCAACATGAAGCATCCAGGCCAAGAGGCAAGCAAAACCAACATGCAACAGCAACAAAAAATATATATAAATCTGAGGCATTCTGGAGCT